CATTTGTTTAAATATTGCCTAGTTGATGGTTTTTGCTTTCACGTACCAGATGAATTTTGTGTTTGGGAAATGGGAAACGGAGGCAGTAAAGAAACCACCTCTGCCCACTCTGGCTATAACAGTGATTAGTTTAGACATGATCTATGCTCAGAAATGCAAGTCCTGCAGTAACAGCACAGTAAAAAAAGACTTTCTGCAGGATAGCAACGTACTTTTTACTGTGTTCCTTTAAAACTAAAATGAACCTGGATGCTCTATTTGTAAACTATTTTACATTATACCAAGAGTCCCAATTTGCATGTACTTAAAAAAAAAAAAGACCAAAAAAAGTAGAAAATAATCCCAGCACTTTGGGATGCTGAGGCAGATGGACTGCTTAAGGCCAGGAGTTCAAGACCAGCCTGGGCAACACGAAACCCCTGTCTCTACAAAACTAAATAAAGTAGCCAGGCGGAGGTGGCAAAGACCTGCAGTCCCAGCTATTCCAAAGCTGAAGTGGGAGGATTATTTGACCCTAGGAGTTTGAAGTTACCATGAACTAAGATCACCACTGTACTCCAGCCTAGGTCACAGGGCAGGACCCAGTCTCTTTAAAAAAAAAAAAAAAAAAGCCTAGGCATGGTGGCTCATGCCTGTAATCCCAACACTTTGGGAAGCCAAGGTAGGAGGATTACTGGAGCCCTGGAGTTCAAGACCAGCCTGGCCAGCATAGTGAGACCTTATCTCTTTAAAAAACAAACAAACAAAAATTGCAGCCTGGGGAACATAGGGAAATCGAGTCTCTACAAAAACTTAAAATAAAAAAAATTAGCAGGGCATGATGGTGTATGCCTGTGGTTCCAGCTACTTGGGAGGTTGAGGTGGGAGGATCACTTTTGCCCCAGAAATCCAGGCTGCAGTGAACTATGACTGCACCACTGTGCTCCAGTCTGGGCGACAGAATGAGACCCTGTCTCAAAATAAACAAATAGGACAGGCATGGTGGCTCACACCTATAATCCCAGCACTTTGGGAGGCCAAGGTGGGCGGATCACCTGAGGTCAGAAGTTCGAGACCATCTTGGCCAACGTGGCAAGACCCATCTCCATAAAATTACAAAAATTAGCTGGGCATGATGGTGTGCGCCTATAATCACATCTACTCAGGAGGCTGAGACAGGAGAATTGCTTGAACCCAGGAGGCGGAGGCTGCAGTCAGCAGAGATCCCGCCACTGCACTCCAGCCTGGGCAACAGAGAGAGACTCTGTCTCAAAAAAAATTAAATAAATAAATGAATGAAAAGAATGTCCAAAGAACTCTCAACCTTTTTAAAAATGAAATAGAGTAAATAATACTCTATTGCTGTTATGCAACCCTTAACCTCTTCCTGAAACTACTGTTTGACACACATTTATTTAAGAAAACAGTAAGTTTTAAGAAAAAAAAATAAAGAAAATAGCAAGTCTTATCTCTATCATAAGGGAACTTTTTCCTAGATTCATACATATAAGAAACTCATTTAACATGGGTGACTGAGAAATGGATAACAGGCAAAGAAGGCACTGTGTGATCAGATAAGAGTTACAACTGATTTTCACATCCAGATTCTAATTTCATTTCATTGATTTGTGGTTATATCTTTACCTAGTAGGGTGCTTCTAACGATGCTGAGAAAGTTAATAGGACATTATATTTTACAGAAATATTTTTCCTAAGTTACTTTTCTAGAAAACATCAGTTCCATCCATGGTGGATACAAGTAGAATTCCAAAACATACACACTGCTCCCTGAAATACCTGCAGGCAACCTAGACTATCGCAATACCAAAACTGCACAGCACTAGCCTAATAGGAGGTAGAGAAACATTGTCTATATGCTATTAAAAGAGATTTTATCTATTTTTATACCGAGAAATAAGGCCAGTACTAACCCCTATAAAAATCTGTAAGAGTTGACTCCTGTCACTAATGCTAAAGAACAACTCATAATGAACACCTAATGTAACATTGAACTGTACACTTTAAACTGATTAAAATGTAGGCCAGACATGGTGGCTCATGCCTGTAATACCGGCACTTTGGGAGACCGAGGCAGGCAGATCACCTGAGGTCAGGAGTCCAAGATCAGCCAGCCAGGTTAATATGATGAAACTCCATCTCTACTAATAATACAAAAATTAGCCAGTCCTGGTGGCACACAGCTGTAAATCCAGCTATTTCGGAGGCTGAGGCACAAGAATCACTTGAACCTGGGAGGTGGAGGTTGCAGTGAGCCGAGATCGTGCCATAGCACTCCAGCTTGGGTGACAGTTTCACTGTGTCTCAAAAAATAAATTAAGAATAAACAAATTGACTAAAAAGGTAAACGTTGTGCTTTAGGAGGCTGAGGAAAGCAGGAAAAAAAGAGAAAAAAAAAACGGTAAACCTTGTTATGTGTATTTTACCACGATTTTTTTTTTTTTTTTGATGGAGTTTCGCTCTTGTTGCCCAGGATGAAATGCAATAAGGCAATCTCTTGGCTTACCGCAAACTCTGCCTCCCAGGTTCAAGCAATTCTCCTGCCTCAACCTCCTGAGTAGCTGGGATTACAGGCAGGTAACACCACGCCCGGCTAATTTTATATTTTTAGTAGAGACAAGGTTTCTCCATGTTGGTCAGGCTGGTCTCGAACTCTCGACCCTGAGGTGATCTGCCCACCTCAGCCTCCCGAAGTGCTAGGATTACAGGCGTTAGCCACCACGCCCAGCCTACCACAAATGTTTAAAAAGTGATGTAAGCTCCCCTCTGAATTTTTTCCCATAAAAAAAATAAACCACTTAGACTACATTAAAAAACATGAATCCATTAAATTGAACATGTTTAAATTTTACATAGTTAAAAACTTTTAGTAATTTCAAAAAAGTTTTCTGACCTCTTAGAGTGTTTATTAGATATCCTCCATCACCAAGGAGGACATACACAAATGAAAAAGGCTTAAATTATAGCAAGGAAGGTTTAGTTTTAACATAATTCTAACCAGAAAGTAATTAAACATTATAATAAGGTATCATGCAAATTTCTGCCCTTAGGGATACAAGAATAGGACAGATGGCTATCTTAGAAGGGCTGGATGCAATTCTGCAGGAAAAGTTGGAATAAACTAGAGAATCTCTTAAGCCAGTTTCCAGTTTTAGAATTTAGTTTTAGAATATAGAAGTTCTATATTCACAGCCCAATAGTACCACTAAAAGACATTCCACTTATAGAACACTGCAGATATTAATCTACAAGTCATTTCAATTCAGCTTTAGATACTAGGTTTGCTTTCACCATACCATTTATTCACTTTACATACTTAGGAACTGAAAACTGATGTACTTTTGTTAACAGGTAGTTCCATCAATATCCAGGCTTCCCTATAAATGCTACAAACATGCTCAACTGAAAACAATATTTGGTTCTAAATTTAACTAACAGAGGCCAGGTATGGTGGCTCACGCCTGTAATCCCAGCAGTTCGGGAGGCCAAGGTGGGTGGATCATTTGAGGTCAGGAGTTTGAGACCAGCCTGGCCAACATGGTGAAACCCCATCTCTACTAAAAGCACAAAAATTAGCCAGGCATGGTGGAGGGCACCCATAGTCCCGGCTATTTGGGAGGCTGAGGCAGGAGAATCGCTTGAACCCAGGAGGCAGAGGTTGCAGTGAGCCAATATCGTACTACTACACTCCAGCCTGGACTCTGTCTCAAAAGAAAAAAAAAGAAATTTTGTCATAATTTTGTCAACCTAAGACCAAAAAAAATCTGTGTTAACAGGGTAGAAGACTTACAGGGCCAAAACATTCCATTTAGTCAGTTTTTCAACAATGGCAAAATAAATTCTTACTTCTGATCACAAAAGCGTAATTTTTCTAACTCAGAGAAAAATATTTTCTTATTTTTTTTAATTTTTTTTTTTTTTTATTTTATTTCCGAGACAGGGTCTCACTCTGTTTCCCAGGCAGAAGGGCAGTGACACAGTCAAGCTCCCTGCAGTCTTCACCTCCCAGGCTCAATTGATCCTCCCACCTTGGCCTCTCACTTAGCCAGGACTACAGGTGAGCACCATCACATTTTTTTATTTTTGTAGAGATGGAGGTCTCACTATCTTGCCTATGCTGGTCTCAAACTCCCGCATTCAAGCAAATCTACTGCCTTCACCTCCCAAAGTGCTGGGATTATAGGTGTGAACTACTGCACTCAGACATATTTAATTTTAGAATACTCAGGGTCTTCACTTTTCAATAATGATTTTTAATTTACTACATTATTTTTAGTAAACATACGACAACTGAATGGTACTTATTATAACCCAAAGGAGGTACTTATGAAGTCATGGAAAGATTAATCATCTTCAAATCAAGCCATTAACCATTAGGGCAAGTTGAGAGATTTTTTTTTGCCAACCTACATTAGGACTATGTCAACAGTTGCCCAGTTAGAAATTAACGCTTAAAACAACACATGTCTAGACTTTAAATTTTAATTTGAGCAACACACACAAATACTGTGATCAAGTATGCATGCACATTACATGTATATGTATTTACCTGGATTTTGTTAATTATGATGAATGTTTGTTTGAAAAAAAAAAGTCGTGGGGCAAAATGGCTCACGCCTATAATCCCAACACATTGGAAGGCCAAGGTGGGCAGATCACAAGGTGAGGAGTTCGAGACCAGCCTGGGCAGCATGGTGAAACCCTGTCTCTACTAAAAATACAAAAATTAGCAGGGCATGGTGGCACATGCCTGTGATCCTAGCTACTCAGGAGCCTGAGGCAGGAGAACTGCTTGAACCCGGAAGGCACAGGTTACAGTGAGCTGAGATCACGCCACTGCACTCCAGCCTGGGGGGACAGAGACTCCATCTCAGAAAAAGAAAGAAAGAAAAAAATCTTGGCTGGACACAGCGGCTCACTTCTGTAATCCCAACACTTTGGGAAGGCAGGATTGAGTCCAGGAAACACAGTGAGACCCCATCCCTAAAAAAATTTAAAAATTTATCCTATTGTCATACATATGCGTGATGACTGGGTGTTCACATGCATGTGTGAAATGTGCCAACCTTGAATCTTGTTATATAACATGCGCACATTACCCATCTGACATGAGAAAAAAAACAATGAATTAAATAAAAAGTAAAAAAAATAAAAAAAATTAGCCAGTCACAATGGGATGCATCTGTAATCCCAGCTACTCAAGAAGCTGAGGTGGGACAATTGCTTGAGTCTGGGAGGTCAAGGCTGTAGTGAGCCATGTTTGTGCCACTGCACTCCAGCCTGGGCGACAGAACAAGATCCTGTCTCAAAAAATAAAATAAAATAAAAATCTGTCAAGATGAATTAGGTAAACATAGGAATCAAAAAATACAGTAATGGATTATGGCACTATCTTTCATAAGAAAGAAAAATTGGAAAGCCTTCCTACTTTCAGTTCACAAATGATTTTTCATTTTATAATCAAAGAAAATAAAGAACATGCCTTATAAAAAAAAGGTAATGTGACTTAAAGTTGAATTATCACTTAACTGCATAAATTTCTAAGAAGCTACTGACTTCCAACTTTTCAATTTCTCTAAAACCAGAACATATTTTCTTTTTCTTCTTTTTTCTCTCAGAATCTCACTCTGTTGCCCAGGCTGGAGTGCAGTGGCATCATCACAGCTCACTACAGCCTCAACCTCCTGGGCTCAAGTGACCCTCCTACCTCAGCCTCCCAGGTAACTGGAACTACAGGCATGTACCACCACACCTGGCCCAGCACACATTTTCTTAACGGCTCACTCCTTCGCTCATAAATGAAACTTGTTTTATACAGAAATAACATATCATCAATATATATGCTATTCTATGACTTTGAGCTTAATTGTGTTTTATAAAACTCAAACAGAACTTTAATAATCTAACTATATTTAAAAAATTTTTTTGGAGACAGCATCTCACCACTCTGTCACCCAGGCTAGAGTGCAATGGCGAAATCTTAGCTCACTGCAGCCTTGACTTCCCAGGGTGATCCTCCCACCTCAGCCTCCTGAGTAGCTGAGACTACAGACGCACATCACCATGCCCAGCTCATTTTGTTGTATTTTTTGGTAGAGACAAGATTTCACTATGTCACCCAGGCTGGTCTTGAATTCCTGGACTCAAGTGATCCTCCTGCCTTGGCCTCCCAAAGTGCTGGGACTACAGGCGTGCAGCCTTTTAAGTTATTTTTTTTTTTCTTATTCACACTGGGCCTCACCTATTCACTTTCCACAACACCTAAGAAAAGTCTTAGACATTAAATACACAACTCAAACATATGAAATTCATTACACGGGTTTTGTAGCCATAATAATTGTACTAATAAAGACTGACTCTAAAGAGCTTATTACGGCAGTGTTTAAATGGTCCAATTCACAAGAGGTGGGGAGGAATAATGATCTTTTCCTACCAAACTGGCAGCAACAATATGCCAAGTTTCCTATGCTAAACTAGCGTAAACAAGGAAGAAAAAGAGCCGGAGGTGGGAAGCAGGCAAGAGAACAACTCTCTTCAAGATATAACTTTGCTTCTAAATTTCAACAGAGTAACAGCTCTTCTCAGTGTGTTCAATAACCCACTTCTCTCTGACTAAACACTACAGGTTAGTTGTCAGAAAGCTACAGTAGGCTACATTCCATGCCTGAGATCATCAGACATAACAGATACAAGTGGAGATCACAAATGATTAATTATAAAGGTTATCACCTGCATCCAGTCAGAGTTTTCTAAACACCTAGAAATTTAAACCCGCGCTTGCTGTAATAATTGAACTTAGAAATAAAATAGCGGGACCCATCAAAGGTGATGCACAGAAAAAAAAAAATTTACACATCACCTTTGCTGCAGCCATGGCTACAAGGTTCCTACTAATAGATGAGCATCATTCAGGATAGGGTTAGGTTAGGAGTGGGATAAAAAGTCGGCTTACAGCCTCTTTTCCAGTGTTGCTTGAGGCAGTCAGTGGACATGGAATAAAAGAGAGGTTGGCTGTGCAAGTGATGCCAAAAGAAACAAGATTCCACATGTCAGGAGACTGAATGCCCAACAGAGCAAAGGGCACTCAACCTTTAGCCTTTTGCCCAAAAAAATATTAGTTGCTTCACCTGAACTCCCTTCAAAGGAAGTCTAATTGCCTCCACTCCAACTCTGCCTCTGAGTAAACGCAACAACCTCTACTCAGAGTACAAGGGGAAGCCTTGCTTATCAACAACAGCAAGTGCTACTTTCAAAGCCAAGAAACACTCCTTTAACTAGGATAGTCTTCTGCCCCAATTCAGTCTTCTACAAGGTGAAGCCAAAAATACTTGGCTCCCAACCTAAGTTCTCCATTTTCTCAAACATCTGTCAACTTAGTTTCCTTTCAGATAAGCCCCTCTCCATTCGCAGCATTCTGGAGGTCCTAGATGAACCCTCTGTTAGGAGTCCTGTCCCTTCAGAAAGTTTCCTCCCCCTAGATCATCTCATTTCCCTCCCTTTTCCTAAAGTGGTTCCCAGTCCCTGTCCCAGGTCTAACACTCCGGGTCCTCCAAGTGTCGATTTACTAGTAGATCCTACTCCTCCCTGGCATAACTCTTAATAAAGTCATCTCCCTCACCGTACTCCCTTGTCTTCCCCCATAATATCACCCCCTTTTTCCTAAGTATCCTCAGATGGAAAGAGACAGAAATTAATCTGTTCTCAGCTCCTAACTCCCAAGCCTCTCCCGTGCTCAGGTTCTTCCACAGTCCCTAATCCTTCCCTATAGTTTTCTTCCAATCCTGGCATCCTCAGCCCCTCACTCCAAACCCCAATTTTTTCCCCACTCCCCAAATCCAGATCTCCTGTGCCTTTTACTCTCGGCCAACACCATAAGCCTTTCCCTCCCAAGTCTACCCACTATGCCTCGATGCCCAAGTCTTTCCCCCTCGTCCCATGTTCCTCGGCCACTAATCCTCGAAAAACCTCAGGAACTGGCCCCACCATCTCCCTTCTGCCTCAGTGGCCCCTAACTCTCCTCTAGCCCTGCTCATTATCCCTTGCCCCCCGGGCTCCCCGACTCGTCCTCCCGGTCCCGAGAAGGGGGTGCCCCTTAGTACACGCCTGGCCCGCCCTGCTGCCGAGTTCGGGTGTCCCTTCCCTTCCCCTCGGGGCCCCGAGGCCGCTGCCAGCGCTGGCACGGCGGGGCTGGCTCACCAGTTGGTCATGTCCAGGAAGAAGGCGCAACCGGCAGGGTTGAGCTGGAAGCCGAGCAGCCGCTGGAACTCCGAGATGAGCACGTCCTTGTCGGTAGTGCCCAGGCAGCTGAACTTCTGCATCAGCTCCGGGTCTAGGTCCACGTCCATGCCCTCCATGGCGGGGGCCGGACACCCGCTTCCCCGCCTCCTCACAACCGAGCCGCCGCCGCCGCGCCGCCGGGCCCGGGGACCGGGAGGGGGCCCGCTGCTAGCTAGAGTCGTGACCCCGCTCCTCTGAGGTAGGCCCCGGGCCTCTCACAGTCTCATAGGGGTAAACTCACTCTGCCACTCACTCACTCTCCCCCCCTCCCACCCCCCCCAGCTCGCCGCCTCCGCCGCCTCTAGCCTCTCGCCACTCCACCGCCTCCGCCTCCTCCCGCGCCGCGCCCACTGCGCAAGCGTCGCAAGCCTAGACCCCGCCCCTTCCTCTCCCGGAGGCCCGCCCCTTAGTGTCGTCACAAACCCGTGACGTCCCCGCGTGACCTCACCGCCGCGGGCTAGGGGCGGAAAGTGGGAAGGAGGAAAGTTACGGTCCAGCAGTTGTGGGGAGGGTTCTGGCCAGACTCTTACTCCGCACCCGTCCCCACCCTCAAGGAGAGCAGTTAAAGATGGGTTGCGGGAGAAGCTCAGGGATTTTCGTTTATGAGAACTCTACCATTTTGCAGGTGAGGAGACTGAAGTCCTGGGAGAGGCAGAGACAGTGGCAAGGTCAAGTGGCAAAGTGCACTCTGGACTCAGCCCTGCCAGCCAGGAGTCTGCCACTCGCGCTTGAAGGACGTGTTTGAAGAGCCGCTTTCCCAGAGGGATGCTGCTTTAAAGCCTTGATTCCCGGGCACTCTGATACTACTACAGTTTATCCGTGCTGTTTGTGTTATGCAATGCTGGCATCGCAGAAAAAAAGGTCTAGATACAAACATCCATCACAGGTCTAGAAGAACACCATACATAACCTTCCACCCACTCTGTCAGGAACAACCCTATCAAAATAAAGTCGTGAGAATTTAGCATGCCTTGTTCTGTGTTTAAAACAGAAGACAAAATTTTAAAAAAAGAAGAAAAAAAGACAAAGTATTGTGTATATTGTACACAGTCCCGGTGAAGGTCTGTCAAAGAATGAGAAAGGAAGCATAGATACTATATTCTCTGCCCTCTTCTGTTTTTCAAACACCGCGGAATGTCCAGTACTGCTAGATCCAAGGCGGGGAGGGTTGGGGAGGGGGGAAAATGAGTGAAAATGTGTCTTCTGCCTTCAAGTAGCTTTCTATTTTGCAAATAAGGGAGATAACCTTGCGTGCCTTGTCCAAAAATACAGAGCTGCAAAATTAGAACCCAGATTCTGGTTCCTTATGAAGTGTGGTTTCCACAGTTTCAGCAACAGAGCTGGGGTAAGTAGTGATATCTCAGGGACCGGGATGTTTTGGAAAGGGAACGAATTCTACCTGCTCTGTCCCACTACCAAAAGAGAATAAACTACAGTAGCTTAAAAAGTCTACGTTCTGGGATTATGCATATTTGGAACTCAGAGGTGAACGTTTGTCCCAATTTTTTGGATGATGCAATAGAGACAGAAAGATTTCAAAAATCTCAATATAATAATTGAAAGGAACTGAGGCTGTCGAGTCCAACCTCTCCATTCTATAGATGAAGAAATTGAAATGGAGAGAGGGGAAATGACTTACCCAAGATTACACAGCTGGAAAGGGGTTTCCAAACTCCGGGTTTAGCACTTCATTCACTATACCCTGGTACATTCCCTTTCTACATTAGGGTGATTTGGGGCCTTATACAAAAACAAAAAATTTGACCCAAGAACTAATTTGATGTTAGGACCATAGACTTCTAGATAGTGTTTTACCTTGCAGTATCCATGGATGAAAATTGTGTTGACCAAGAATACAAAAGAAGGTATTATTGGAACCTGGTGACTCCATTAGAATGCTGATTCGGGGAAAAAATTCAAAACTCTCGATCAATCCCATACAGTACTAGGGTCTTAGCCCACACTTCAATAGTCTACATAGTTCAGATAAATTCTTTTTTTTTTTTTTTTTTTTCTGAGACAAGATCTCACACTGTTGCCCAGGCTGGAGTGCAATGGCAGGTCACAGTTCACTGCAGCCTTGAACTCATGGGATCAAGCAGTTCTCCCACAGCCCCCAAGAAATTGGGGCTGCAGGTGGGTGCCACTATGCCCGGCTAATGTTGTTTTTCGACTTTTTATAGAGACGGGGGACTCACTGATCGCGAGCTTCAGGGCTTGAGGGATCCTCCTGCCTTGGCCTTCCAAAGTGTTGGGATTACAGGCATGAGCCACTGTGCCCTGCTATTTTTATGTAATAAATAAAAAGCTATTAAGATCAATGAGGAGGTAGGAGGATCACTTGAGCCCAGGAATTCTAGACCAGCCTGAGCAACATAGTGAAACCACCACTCTACAAAAAATTAAAAAATTAATCTGATGTGGTAGTGCTCACCCATGGTCCCCACTATATGGGAGGCTGAGGAGTGGGGATAACTTGAGCTCAGGAGGTTGAGGCTGCAGTGACCCATGTTCCTGCCACTGCACTGCAGCCTGGGTGACAGGAGGAGACACTGTCTCAAAAAATATTTTTTTAATTTACACATAAAAATAAAAAGATCAATAAAGGGACTAGGTGAGATAGCTTATTCCTATAATCCCAGTACTTAGGGAGGCCTAGGTGGGAGGATTGCTTGAGGCCAAGAGTTTGAGACCAGCCTGAGCAGTTTAGCAAGACCCCATCTCTACAAAAAGTGTTTTTTAAATAGCTGGGTGTACTGGTATGCACCTGTAGTCCTACCTGCTCCAGGTGGTTGAAGGTCCCAAGTAGCAGGGACTACATGTGTGTGCCAGCCTGGCTAATTTTTGTATTTTTTGTTAGAGACAGGTTTTTGCCATGTTGGCCAGGCTGGTCTGAAACTCCTGACTTCAAGTGATCCACCCTCCTCAGCCTCCAAAGTGCTGGGATTACAGGCATGAGTCACCTTGCCCGGCCAAGACTGTCTCTTAAAAAAAAAAAAAATTAGAGGCTTGAAAATGAATGAAAATATTTTAAACTCCATGAATAATTAATAAATGCAAATTAAAACAGATACAATACCGTTTTTACATATCAGTTTGGCAAATATTGATCATAGCCAGTGTTCTATAAGTTGTGAACAAAAGGCAATTTCATACAATATTGATAGGATTGCACATTGGTAAAACCTTTTTGGAAGACAATTTGGCAATGTCTATTAAAAAGTTTGAATGTGCACACTGTATCTTAGATATGCAGACAAACTAAAAAAGATGGTCAAACACATATATATGTAGAGAGATAGATGATCACTGCAGATTTATTTGAGATGCTGGAAAACGCCCGTCAGTAAGGCTTTGATTATATTATGCTACACTTACATCATGGAATACTACACACCATTTAAAAAAATGCTGGGCGCTGTGGCTCACACCTATAATCCCAGCACTTAGGGAGGCTGAAGTGGGCGGATCAGCTGAGGTCACAAGACCAGCCTGACCAACATGGAGAAACCCCGTCTCTACTAAAAATACAAAATCAGCTGGGCTTGGTGGCTCATGCCTGTAATCGCAGCTACTCAGGCAGCTGAGGCAGGAGAATGGCTTGAACCCAGAAGGCGGAGGTTGTGGTGAGCTGAGATGGCACCATTGCACTCCAGCCTGGGCAACAAGAGAAAAACTCTGTCCCAAAAAAAAAAAAAAAATTGAAATAGGTCTGTATGAACTAACATGAAAAGATGTAGACTACTGACCATTAGGAGAAAAAAGCAAAAAGCTACCTGTTGAACAATATATATACTGTGATCTCTTTTTTGTTTGTTTAAAAAGCATATGTGAGCTGGGCTTGCTGAGCACCTGTAATCCCAGAACTTTGGGAGGCTGAGGTGGGAGGATTGTTTGAGCCCAGAAGTTCAAGACCATCCTGGATAACATAGTGAGACTCTACAAATTTTTTTTTAATTAGCCAAGCATGGTGGCATAAGCCGTGGTCCCAGCTACTTGGGAGACTCAACGGGAGGATTGTTTGAGCCCAGGAGGTCCAGGCTGCTGTGAGCCATGATAGGGCCACCGTACTCCAGCCTCAGCAACAGAATGAGCTTGTCCCCCCAAGAAAAAAAATTTATATGTGAGTGTATATGTTTATGTACATGCGTAAACAATATGCATAACAAAATATCTTGGTAGCTATCTAGCAATGGTTAGGAGAAGAGGGTTTATGGTAGGATTGTCAGGTAAAATACAGAATTCCTATTTAGTCTATTTAGTTCAAGCCATTCTCCTGCTTTAGCCTCCCGAGTAGCTTGGATTACAGGCGCCCACCACCATGCCCAGCTAAATTTTTTGTATTTTTAGTAGTGACAGGGTTTCACTATGTTGGCCAGGCTGGTCTCAAACTCTCAATCTCAGGTGCTACACCCACCTGGTCCTCCCAAAGTGCTAGGATCACAGGCATGAGCCACCAGACCTGTCCTTTATTGTTATTATTATTATTTTTTTCTGAGACAAAGTCTCACTGTGTTGCCAAGGCTAGAGTGCAGTGGCACACAATCTCAGCTCACTGCGATATCCACCTCTTGGGTTCAAGGGATTCTCTTGCCTCACTCAGCCTCTTGAGTAGCTGGGATTACAAGGGTACACCACCATGCCTGGCTAATCTTTTTGTATTGTTTGTAGAGATGGGTTTTCCATGTTGGCCAGGCTGCTCTTGAACTCCTGATCTAAAGTGATCCACCCACCTCAGCCTCCCAAAGTGCTGGGATTACAGGTGTGAGCCACCTCGCCCAGCCTTTTTTTTTTTTTTTTTTTAATTTTTAAAGACAGGGTTTCATTTACTCTGTTGCCCAGGCTGGAGTGCAGTGGCACAATCTTGGCTCACTGCAGCTTTCATCAGCTGGGTTCAAGCAATTATCTTACCTCAGCCTCCTGATTACAGGCACACACCAACATGCCAGGCTAATTTTTGTATTTTTAGTAAAGGCAGGGTTTCACCAGGCCAGGATGGTCTCCAACTCCTGACCTCAAGTAATCTGCCCACTTCAGTCTCCCAAAGTGCTGGGATTACAGGCATGAGCCACCACGCCTGGCCACTTTCCTGTATTTAAATAAATAAATATACAGTGTGAACTGCTACCATGAAACTGCAAAATAAATAAATAAATATGGCCAGTTGCAGTGGCTCATGCCTGTAATCCCAGCACTTTGGGAGGCATAGGCGGACAGATCACCTGAGGTCAGGAGTTTAAGACCAGCCTGGCCAACATAGTGAAACCGAGTCTCTGCTAAACCTACAAAAATTAACCAGGCATGGTGATGTGCACCTGTAATCCCAGCTACTCAGGAGGCTTAGGCAGGAAAATCACTTCAACCCAGAAGGCAGAGATTGTAGTAAGTGGAGAACCCACCATTACATTCCAGCCTGGGCAAAAGAGGGAGACTCTGTCTCAAAATATAAATAAATAAACAGGACCAGAAAAGGTGGCTAATGCCTATAATCCTAGCATTTTGGGAGGCCAAGGCGGGAAGATCGCTTGAGCTCAGGAGTTCAAGATCAGCCCTGTCAACATAGTGAGACTTCATCTCTACAAAAATAAAACATAAGAACAACTAACAGGGTGGTGTGCACGCCTGTAATCCCAGCTACTTGGAGGTTGAGGTGGGAGGATCAACTGAACCGAGGAGGTCAAAGCTGCAGTGAGCCACTGCATTCCAGTCTGGGGCAATGGAGTGAGACCGTATCTCAAAATAAAACACAATAAAATATATCTTTTTTAAGTTTCAACTGGCTGGTCTACTAAGAATCACGAGGTGGCTCATGCCTATAATCCCAGCACTGTGGGAGGCCAAGGTGGGTGGATCACCTGAGGTCAGGAGTTTGAGACCAGCCTGGCCCACATGGCAAAACTGCGTTTCTACTAAAAATACAAAAATTAGCTGGGTGTGGTGGCATGCCTATGATCCCAGCTACTTGGGAGGCTGAGGTTGGAGAATCGCTTGAACCCGGGAGGTAGAAGTTACAGTGAGCCAATACTGTGCCACTACACTCCAGCCTGGGAGACAGAGTGAGATTCCATCTTGAAAAAAAAAGAGAATAATGAGACAGAATTATCTCTGTTAACATGGATGATCTCTAAAGCTTTTATTTGGGAAACAAGAATTACATGTCAATTTAAAAAATAACACTTTGGGTCTTGCTTTTTCACCAAGATTGAGTGGCAAAATCGTAACTAACTGCAGCCTGGAACTCCTGGGCTTGAGCAATCCTGCTGCCTCAGCCTCCCAGAGTGCCACCGTACTCAGCCTCACAGTGTAATCTTAAAAGATATGACAAAGCAGTAGTATTATATATAA